GATTGTAGTTAGCCAATAAAGGTAGTTTTACTAACAGTAGTTTTCTTGATGATGGATGGATGATGGTTGGATGGATGATGGTTGGATGGATGATGGTTGGATGTATGTCCAGTGGTAAAATCAATGCTAACATGTTTCTATTGTTATTCAGTGTTCAGTTAGCATGTATGCTAGCTGTTGTTCAGCAGGTTATCAGGTAAATCAAACAGTTTGTTTATATAACATCAGCTGGAGTTCTCAGAGTTCAGGGATGGATCCAGTCACTGTCGAACTGCTGCAGCCTCATGAAGAAACGATGATGTCAGAGCTCAAACTGTGATACATTTAACAGGCTCAGTGTGAAGCCAGATGTTCCTCTAAGTGCTCCATCAAGAGTCCAGTAAAGCTCTGGATGTTCTGGTTCTGCTCACCGGTCCTCCTCCATGGCCTGCAGGAACTCTGCGCTCTTCTTCTGCCTGAAGACAAACACAGGAGGTCAGRAGAAGGTCCTGCTCTAACATCAGAGCTTCAGAGAGCTGCAGCTCTGACCTGCTGCTGTCCATCAACAAGCTGCTGATCCTGCTGCTGATGCTGTCCTCGGCCTGTCGGACCTTCTCCAGAACCAGCTGCCTCTCGGCCTCCTGGGCTCTCTGCTGCTGGCTGAAGCCCAGGTCTGCTCGCTCCTGCTCCTGAAACACAGAACCGGTTCAGCAGAACCAGAACACGTGGGGTCCAGGAGTTTGTTGTCTCAGTCTGAGCCGGTACCACACCTGTCGGACCGAGATCAGGATGTTCTCCTTGTGGTAGTTGTTCATGAGGAGCAGCTGGGTGTGCTCCTTCTGCTTCTCCACCAGGTGGCGCTCAAAGGCCAGCTTCTCCTGCTGCTTCTGCTCCTGCAGAGGGAAACACAAATACACAAATACACTTCACTATTATATACACTGTGTGTGTGTGTGTGCGCGTGTGCGTGTTACACACCTTTCTCTTCTCATAATCACTGAATTTATTCTGCAACACAAAGAAAAGAAAATACTTTAAACTCATAAAGTTCACACAGGTCTCCCCTGGGGGTCTGAGGGATCTGAGGGGTCTGAGGGATTTGAGAGGTCTCAGGGGTCTGAGGGATCTGAGAGGTCTCAGGGGTCTGAGGAGTCTGAGGGGTCTGAGAGGTCTGAGAGGTCTGAGGGGTCTCAGGGGTCTGAGGGGTCTGAGGGGTCTGAGAGGTCTGAGAGGTCTGAGGGGTCTCAGGGGTCTGAGGGGTCTGGTTTACCTTCCAGGCCTCCTCCAGTCCATCCACACAGTCAGAGTTCTGTTTGCTTCCGTCACTCTCCAGAACCGGCAGCAGGTACTGTGAGGGGGGGCAGTACTCCTCCCCCAGCTCTGAAAACCACACAAACCATCAAAAACCAACAATACATGTGAGAGAACCAGAACCAGAACCAGAACCAGAACCAGAAGAGGTCAGAACTTTACCACTGCACAGGAAGCGCTGGATGCTCTCAGTTCCATCAGAACACACAGGAGCAGGAGGGAAGAGCATGTCTGCTGCATCCAGGGTCAGACTCTGTCACAACAACAACAACAACAACAGGTAGGGTTTATAAACAACAACAACAACAACAGGTAGGGTTTATAAACAACAACAACAACAACCAGTGTTTATAAACAACAACAACAACAGGCAGGGTTTATAAACAACAACAACAACAACAACAACAGGCAGGGTTTATAAACAACAACAACAACAACAA